TATGTGCGTAGAGACTAGTGCTGCCGTGGTTGGTGAAATGTCGCATTATATTTTGCTGGAATAGGTGTCAATGATTGCTAATATTCAAGTTACGTAAACTGTCGTGAGGTATCTTGATAATTTTAGGTCTCTTTATAATTTCGATGAAAAAATTTTCGTTATATTACAAAACATTTGCTATAGATTTTTCATTATACGTGTAGGTTAACTTCTCTAACTTTTGCAATGAGCCTTATCATACGAACGGGATTTGGACCCATTACTCATGACATTAAATTTAATCCGTGTGCAATACCGAAAGGAAAAGCCTTAGCAATATCGCATGTAATTCGCGTTGAAGAATTGCGCAGTAAAAATATAAGTCATTTAATAAGATGCAGTGTGAGAGATACCGCAAACGTCTGTCAATGCTACTCCGTACAAGGTACAATTGCATGTAAGTATTAAATGAAATTTAAGTAAAGTCCCAGACAACGTTATGTCGTCTTAAAGACATCTTAAATCTGTGAAATATATTTTTACATGAATATATTTTTACACGCAACAATTTAAATTTCCCTTTCGCAATTTTTCCATTTTTCGATAATTGTCACTCCAGCAAATAATGCAAACTTCGGCCACCATGAGCGCCCTAAGTCCTACTTTTCCGCTATAGTATATCATCGCACGAAGCGATTTGTCTAAAAAAACATCTTTAAGACGTCTTTTAGATATGTATATCTAGATGACTTAAAGACGACTTAAAGATGTCTTAAAGATATCTTTTAGACATGCATGCTGTATGGGAGGATACAGCGACGATAATGATAATCTTATCCAAACAATTCTGTAATCAAAATCTTATAATTATCCTTGTACTTGCATTTTAAGCACAAATTTATTTCTTATTTAGTCTTATCTCTTATCTCGTTTTAGCATTAAAATTCGAAGTCAACTTCGACAGGACTTACAATAATGTAATTGAAAACAAAATGTTCTTTAATTCTTTTAATCACGTAATTCAGGGTGCAAAGTAATTACCATGTGCACAGTGATTTTCTATGTTATTGAAGTCACTGAATTCAAATCTGACATCAGATTTTCGAACTCCTCATATCCAAGATGGTAGGTGCAATATGGTGGACCGTTAAATAGACAAAAATTCACCAATTTTTATAGATATCGATATACAGGACATTCTTGAGTGGCTAAATTTAAATGTTAAAATAGATTTTAAGAATGTAAAATGGCGTATCTAAAATAGTGGATCATTTCTTAATTACAATTATCTATGAAAATTGATATTTGTTTTTAGCCACTATTTTGTGATGTAAAATCAATTTTTAAGATGAAAGTAAATTGAACCTTGGATTTCTTTCTGCCGCAAGTGGGCAAACTTTTCCAGTTTACTATGATTTATTTATCATCCTGAATTTAGAATCCGTACTTCTGATTTAAATAAGACATCCTAGAAACATCCAATATACCGAATTTCACTGAAAATATTGAATTTTTTCAAGTTTTAATCGGCCATATTGGATCCGCCATTTTGAATTTTAATATTCGGATAGCAAATTAGTACTCAAGAACCTCAGAAATACCTACGCAACAAGTTTGCTTATTAAAAATAGTTGAAATGACATTTTTATTCGCCATATTGGATCCGCCATTTTGAATTTTGGTTTTCAGATGGCAATTTTTGTTCGCCATATGGGATCCACCATTTTTAATGTTGGTTTTCAGATGGCATATCAGTACACAAGAACCTCAGACACCCCCCACATACAAAGTTTGCTGACAATTGATTGAAAAGAATCAACATTTGACATTTTGGCCATAATGGATCAACCATTTTTATTTTTATATATTTTATTAATTGTAATTATGAATAAATCTTCCTTTGAGTATACAGCAATTACACAAATTTTTATCATGTTTTACAAGAATTATAGGCGGTTCTGGAAAGACCTTTAAAAATGTACAATTTTTTTACTATCCACCATTTTATTAATAAATTTTATAATAATTATATAAAATGATTTATTAATTCTATGGTACAAAATAGTCACATAACCCAAACTTCAGCTAAAAAGATGGAAAATTGCGGAAATAGTAAAGAAAACAAAAATTTTGGGAAACTGAGTTATCCCATATGGTCCTGTAAGAGTTAAATGATTCATGTTTCTTCTGTTTTAAAGAGATTATTCATAATTTGTCCCACAAAAACTTTGATTATCAAAGAACATAGTTGTACAGAATATGGTTATTTTGAAATTTGTATAACAATTTGTTATTAATTGGAAGTTTTTTCCATATTTGATAAATTTGCGATTTACAATTTCGAGGCGTAACAGATATTCATTAAATTTAGTAACAAAAATATGTATATGCTATTTATACGCGTCCAAAACACTAGAATTAAACATTGTACCTCCTTTTCTTTCATAAAAAAAGAATTATTTTTCGAAAAATTTCTCTTCAACTGAACAGTTTCTATTTAATTTGTACAAAATTATAATAAAATTAGAGGATAAAGTTGCATGCATGCACAAATACACGTAAAATAAAATTACTTTAATATGAAAATAATAATCAGAGCGAGCATTATTTTTAATTAAAAATATATATAGTAGTAAAGAAATATCTTTATGAGAAATTTATATATTGAAATCTAACTTATTTTTCTTTTCTGAAAAATGCTTGTCATATTATTATTGCGATATCTTTCCTTTTTGCACATAATCTTATTTATTTTAAAAAACATTATTGTACAATAATAGATATTATAAGAGTACACTAATTTACATGTGTGTTACGTATTGTGAAAATTGCTCTTACAATAAGCACACATCAATCTTCATAAAATCCCATACATAACATATTAACACATTAACATATAATATAATTTGTACGAACTACGTACTTTATAAAATATCAATTATTATTATATTAGAACAAAATTAACTATCGCAAATTGAATTGTTTTGGATTGAATTGTTCTGTAATATTCTGCAACCAATTAACATGATAACATAGCAGAATATGCAAATGAGAATTATTATGCAGTATATGAACTCTACGAAGACGTAATAAGTTGTTCAAAAATTTCATTAGTTTACGTTAACCAAACAGGAAATACACTCTCCTTTGCTTTAATACTTATAGAATCGATTAGGTATCGTTACTTCATATATTACTAATTGTAAAGAACAAAGTTTTTTACCTAAATAAAAATTATTTTTAAATGCAAAATTATATTATTTAATTACGGTTACATATAGTATTTAATATTTTAAGAATTTGCTTACCTACGTGTAGATTTTCCATTTGTAAAATTTATTTTCAAATCTTGATTGTAATGGAAAAAACTGTGTTTTGTTGTTTTTTAAAATATAATTTTTTGGCTTTACTTTGATTTAAAATAGAATGCTGAAAATTTAAAGATCTAAATTTAGGATGGAAAGTTTTTAATTCTTTTTTGTTTTACTTGCTAAGAAAAGAAAAGTTTATAAAGAGATTGTAATGTTTTATTATAAGAGATTATACTTTATTGTAATTATTTCTGACTAGTGATTATTTCTAATAAAAAATGTCAAAATACTTATAGAACCATAACAATTTGTTATAATTCTTTTTGATAGATCGAAATTTATTTATTCTGAAAAAGTATGTTATATTAGATATAGGTATAATTATTCAACTGTTATGTTATTATATAACAGTTAAATAATAATATATCTGATGTTATATCTAACTGTTATATTATTATGCAACGTAACTATATGTTTTTAAGTATTATAGTTGCTACACATACATACGCGCTTGTATGGTGAGTGAAAACCTTTCCATCTCCTGTTTTTTGTAACCGATTGATTTGTGCGGAATATACAGGGTGGCCCCGAACGTTCCGGCCAGGCTTTGAAATTTTATAGGAAATTTAATTCTGAACAAAAAGTTTCCCATAAACATGGGTCGAAAAATGCTTCCTTAAAAAGTTAGCGCCCAGAAACCTCTGAAATCACGGTTATTTTACACTTTTTTTTCTGCATTGTTTAAACCAATCACCATAGATGGATGGAAGGAAGAGCAAAAGGTAAGAAGAAAATGAAGTACAAAGAAAATGACATTTAATAAATTTCTTGGAAAAATAAATAAAAATAGAAAATAAAAATCCTTTTCTTTCATAAAAACAGAATAATTCTTTTTAAACAAAAATAGTACTGTAATAATAGAAAATACTCTGCTGCAGGAACAATAGGAATACTCTGCGATACAGGACTCCAAATTAGCGCGGACTCGGGGAAAATAACCATGATTTCAGAGGTTTTTTGGCGCTAACTTTTTAAGGAAGCATTTCTCGACCCATGTTTATGGGAAACTTTTTGTTCAGAATTAAATTTCCTATAAAATTTCAAAGCCTGGCCGGAACGTTCGGGGCCACCCTGTATAAAACATATTTGTTGTTTTAAAGGGACTATATAACTGATAAATTCAACCGTGTTTCAAATCCTTGATTACCTTTTCATCCTTTCGAAATTTCTAAGTAGCAACAAGAGATACGTTGTTTTAAAATTCTTCTAATTTTCTTTATTGTTGTTTTTTTTCTGTGCAAGTGTTTCTGAAGAAACTGTATTTAAAAGTAGTAAGAAATGGTGTATTTTCGTTGCGTTCTGAAGCTGATTTCTCGGCACCCGAACGATATCGCCGCCGTGCAGAACTCTGCAGGCAACGCCCGTCTTCTCGCGTGAATGAAACTTACTGAGTACTTGAGAAAACCGATTTATTAGGTCTGGTACAAGCACGCCTGTGTATCTTACAATGGCCGGCACGTGTCTCTCTGGTCTCAATCGCTCCCTCTCTCTTTCGCCCTGCACTCATTCCAATGCACCAGTCCAGCCAATTCATCACGCACACCAACTCGTCAAACATACCAACCTGCATCATACCCGCGAATTCAAAATTCCTCGACGTGCCAACATGCCACCCCCCTTGACAAACATGAACGCGTGTTTTCAACATAATCTTACTATACGAGTAATTTTGATCATCGGTAATTAATAATTAACATACATAACATAATAACTGACTAATAGCTAACATACAGAAATATTCTCGCTGTTTTTTAAACCAAACGATCAATCGACAATAAACGAATCAATAAAAGGAAAAGAAACGGTTAATTCTGATACAACAAGTTTGCCCTGCGCAGGCATTCTTAGGTCTACTCCTTCGAGATTGGTGCCATCTTTACCACGGGACGTTTGAAATTTCCTCTAGCCGTACACACGGTAACTGCTCGTACGATTCCGTCTTTGCCCCGATGCTCTTCTAATACTCTAGCTAGAGTCCACTTCCACGGCATGACTTCGTCCTCCTTCATCATCACTAACTGCCCAATTCGAAGTGGGGATTTGGCATCAATCTTCCATTTTGTTCGCTTCTGACACGTGGTCAAATATTCTTTCGACCATCTGGACCACAATCGTTGATGAATCCGGTCGGTATGCTACCGTCTTGACAGTCTATTTATGGGTATTTCTAGAACACTCGACTGCGGTAATGACTTCATTGCACTTCCTATTAAAAAATGGCCAGGCGTTAAAGCCTCCAGATCCCTAGGATCATCAGACATTGGAGTGAGAGGTCTGGAGTTTAGGATTGCCTTTGTCTGGCTCAACACGGTTATCATTTCTGCAACGGTGAGTGATGCGGCTCCAACTGTGCGCTTTAGATGACGCTTCATCGCCTTTACAGCTGCCTCCCACAACCCTCCAAAATGTGGTGCTCTGGCGGGTATAAAATGCCATGATATGCCTTCCTTAGACGTCGTTTCATGGATTCTTCTCTTGAACTCTGCATCGTCAAACAGCTGTCGTATCTCACGCTCTGCACCCACGAAGTTTCGCCCGTTGTCGGAATATATATCTGACGGCAACCCTCTTCTTGCTATGAACCGCTTCAAAGTTCCGATGAACGCCTCAGTCGTCATATCCTCCACCAATTCAATATGCACGGCTTTAGTGGTCATGCATACGAATATCGCCACGTAAGCCTTGTATTGCTTGCTATTACGCTTTACTCGATCGCGCACGAACAGCGGACCACAATAATCAACTCCTACCTTGGAGAATGGTCTGGAGATGTTCACTCGCGCCTCCGGCAATTGTCCCATTAATGGTTGTATAGGGGTAGGATTGGCCTTACGGCATGTTACACAAACCCTCAAGCATTGCTTTACCTCGCTTTTGGCATGTATCGGCCAGAACTCCTCCCTTACTGATGCCAAAGTAGCGTTAATCCCAGCATGGAACAATCCTTCATGTCTGTCCCGAATAACCAGTCTTGTGAAGTGATGACTCGCAGGAAGCAGCAACGGATGCTTTATTTCTTGAGTTAGCGATGAGTGATCCAGTCTGCCTCCCACTCTTATCAGTCCGTGTTCGTCCAAATATGGTTTAAGTCCAACTAGCTTAGATTCCTTTGCAACCTCTTGTTTGCTCCTTAGTCTTCTGATCTCGGCCTCCCACATTTCAGCCTGAATCAAGCCCACCAGAACATCTCGCGCTTCTTTTAATTCCTCAACCAATATATTTCCTAACCTACGCATGTCTTTGGCACACTTCGCATTATATATAAATCTTAATATATAAACCATGGTGCGCAATATTTTTCCTAACGACGAAAATCTAACAAAACTTATTACAGGTTCGCGCACCCGGGCTAACACAGTCACAGTTTCATTGCGTTTTTCAGGTAGAGAATTTATCACCATATCCTTGTTATTATATATAGGAAAGTCGTTTTCCTTCTTCAGCCAAGTAGGACCCTCCCACCATAAGCTAGAATTCTTTAATACTCCCGGAGTTGACCCTCTCGATATCAAGTCCGCGGGGTTTTCTTTCGATTTTACATGTCGCCATTCGTAAGGCGCAGAACTGCTCTGTATTTCTCCTATCCTATTAGCTACGAACGTTTGCCATCTTCTGGCCGGTGATCCTATCCACGCCAATACAATTTGCGAATCAGTCCAGTAGTACTTATTATGCACTTTCACGCCCAAGCTAGTTATCACTTTGCCCATCAACCTAGTTAACAATAAGGCGCCGGACAACTCCAGCCTTGGTAACGATAAAGTCTTTAACGGCGCAACTCTAAATTTTGAGCATATTAAGGCTGTGCTATTCTCATTATTTGTTCCTCTATACACTATATAAATGCACGCCCCGTAAGCTTGCTCGCTCGCATCACAAAATCCGTGTAAACTAATTTTGCCTGCGTCGCTACCTTTGGTCACTAATCTGTTTATTTTTATCGACTCCAATGCAGACAATTGTGATCTGATTAACAACCACGAATTGTGCACCCTCATCGGCACCGCATCATCCCATCCTATTCTACAAGTCCACAACTCCTGCATTAAAACCTTAGCTAAAGTCATTACCGGGCCGACTAATCCCAACGGGTCAAATAGCCTAGATATCTCGGACAGTATTGCCCGCTTAGTCACGCGGCTATCTTTATTTTGTACAGGCGCTACGAAATGTAGTGTGTCTTCCCTAGGATTCCACCTTATGCCTAATAACTTTGATTCCTGCTCTTTTTCGAACTCCACGAACTCCTCGTTACCTTGATCGCTAACCTTTCTGACACCGGGAACATTACTATTCCACTTATGCAATTCGAGACCCCTTTCCTCAATATATCCGTTACCTGCTTTTTTAATTGCAAAAGTCCCTCTACTGTCTCAGCACCTGTCAAGAGATCGTCCACGTAAAAATCTTCACGTATCGCTCTAGCCGCCAATGGACAATCCCTTCCTTCCTCCTCCGCTAATTGCTGAAGACATTTGATGGCTATAAATGAGGCTGGCCTTGTACCGTACGTCAAAGTTACTAATTCATATGTCTTTATCGGTCCGTCATTACTTTCTCTCCACAATATGGTTTGCAAAGGCGTATGATCCTTGTGTACTAATATCTGCCTATACATTTTAATTATGTCAGCGCTCAAAACATATCTAAAACATCGAAATCTTAACACTATTGAAAACGAATCACTTTGTATGATAGGACCCTTGTGTAACGTATCGTTCAACGATAGTCCCTTGTTATCATTGCTAGACGCATCAAATACCACCCTGACCTTCGTAGACGCACTGGTCTCCTTTACTACTGCCTGATGTGGCAAAAATACTCTTTTTGCAGGATTCTGCGAAATATCAACAGCTCTTATATACCCTAACTCCTCGTACTCTCTTAAGAATTTAACATACTCTGTCTTTAAACTAGGATTCTTATTTAATTTCCTTTCCAGGGACAAAAATCTTTTCATCGCTATATCTTTGGAATTGCCCAAGTTACATGCTACATCTTCCTTTATTGGTAACTTAACAACAAATCTACCCTGCTCATTTCTACAGTGCGTTTTCTGGAAATGTTCTTCGCAAGGCGAGCTTCCAGTTAACGTCCCCTTTTCTTCTGCCAGAACTTCTGTAACGCATCGTCTAATTCCTGAGTGCAACTTAAATAGCAGTTAGTTTGCGAGGCGCTGCCTCTCATCGTATCGATCCTGCCCGCGACGATCCAGCCTAGCAAGGTTTTTGCAATATAGGTTTCCCCTTACCCAGCCTGATCTGCCCTACGCACAACAGATCCCAGAATTTCTCAGTTCCTATCAACAATTCTACTTCTGATGGCACATAAAATTGCGGATCCGCCAAGCGAATATTTTCAGGTATATCTAACCGCTGTCTATCTATCCTCACATTAGGAATTCTTTGCGTAATCGCTTGTAAAATCACGCATTGCAAATCTGTAGCGAAAGATTCAAACCGGGAATTCATTTTTAAATTTAATATCTTAGTCGCCTTGGATACTTGCTGATTAACACCCTTTATTTCTATGGGTGCGTCCCTAGGATCAAGTTTTAATTTTTTAGCAAGCGATGCTGACACAAAATTAGCTTGGGAACCGTTATCTAACAATGCCTTGACGTCTATAAAATGCCCATCTTTATGCTGTATTTTTACCATAGCCGTGGCTAGTAGTACCTGACTCGACTGTGCTATTTCAGTACTCGAATGACTACATACGATATCGCTAGTATCCTTATCATTCTTATTCTCATCCGTTACCTTTGAGTTTACTTCCGACCTTTCCTTTTGATTATCGTTATGTAATAGAGAGTTATGCCGCTTGCTGCATATTTTACAAGGCCCGGCATAACAATCCTTAGCTAGATGTTTGCCCCTGAGGCAATTCAAACATAAACCCTTGGATTTCGTGTGTTTAACTCGTTCGTTAACTGATAGGCCCTTAAAATCCTTGCATGCATAAATGTTATGCTCACCTTGGCAGTAGGTACATTTAGCATTGATTGTAGCAACGTTGCAATTATTGACCTTGTGATGACTAGCCTGGCGTGAATTAGCACCGGCTACGCTATTATTCACCGTTTTGGCTACCGCCTTCCAACGTTTGACATCTCCTTTTTAGAAATTCAACAGGATCTATTGTATTTTCCCATTCCTTTATCGTTCTAATGTCCAACTTGCTAGCTACGATGTGTACAAGCAGATCATCCCACTGCTCAGTAGGCCTATCTAAGTTTGTAGCGCTCTCTTATGCTTTAGCACCCCATCTAAAATTTGCCTAAGGGCGACACTGTTTTCCTTCCTCACTATTGGCAAATCGAAAATGGCTTTGACATGGTTTTGTATTATCAACCTCTTATTATCATACCGCTCTTCAACCATGCGTCCGCGTAATTGTTCCCAGAAATTTCTAGTGACGACACGACTTCGGATGCTTCACCCTTTAGCGACGATCTCAAGTAATGAAATTTTTGAGTGGCGCTCAGATCCCGATTTGAATGTATTATGGAGTTAAACATGTCATAGAACGCGTGCCAATCGGCGTATGCACCCGCAAACGTGGGTAATTCGATTCTAGGCAATCTTACATGTGCATTGTATGCCGGTACAGGTACCCTTTCGTTATTATCTATGTTGACACGCGTTTCTATATTATCTATGTTGACACGCGCTTCTACGACCGTTTGTTCCGCGTCTTCATGGTTGACGTCAATCTTTAATTTTTCCTTTATTATTCTTTCGGCTGTCACTTTTAATCTAACGTATTTATTCTCAACGCTTTCTGCCTCTGCATCCAACTCTTGCACCGAAATCGTATTATCACTAGCAGCTATCTCGATCTGCATATCCTTAAATGTTTCATCAGCTTCTTCGATTCTCGCAATTCTAATCTTTAATTCGTCAATTTCGATCGCATCGAGATCCGTATCGTTAATGTATGTTTCAAACCTAGTCAACGTGGCCTTGGCCGTCCGCTTCTTAGGCCCGAACTTTACTGACGCGCCTTCATCTACCTTTGCCATGACGCCAATAACCTAAGTACAAATGTAAAATAATCGCTTCGTCTCGTTACAATTTTTAATGTTCGCGTAATACGTATCGAATGAGATCCTGCTTCTTGGCTGCCGTGTGCTTCCCGGCACGGTGTATCCCTGCCGCGGTGTCCTCGGACCAAGCGACGCTGCTTCACTGCGATGTCCTCGCCCCGCCGTAAAAATGGACTGCCCCGCTGGAACAATGGACTGCCTCGTTGGACCAATGGACTGCCTCGTTGGACCAATGGACTCGCCCCGCTTCGTTAATGGACTCGTCTCGGCGTCTCCTCGACCCTTGGCTTGGCCGTTGCAACTGCGTTTGCCTTCGCTTCACCTTCTAATTCCTTTCTTCCGTATTAGCCGCTGCTCACCAGACCTCTTGTAAGATTCGGCTTCCCCTTGCGATTACAGATCTCGCCTCTTGCTCGATCTGCCTTTTCCGGACGTATCCGGCTCGAAGGACCATGTATTTTCGTTGCGTTCTGAAGCTGATTTCTCGGCACCCGAACGATATCGCCGCCGTGCAGAACTCTGCAGGCAACACCCGTCTTCTCGCGTGAATGAAACTTACTGAGTACTTGAGAAAACCGATTTATTAGGTCTGGTACAAGCACGCCTGTGTATCTTACAATGGCCGGCACGTGTCTCTCTGGTCTCAATCGCTCCCTCTCTCTTTCGCCCTGCACTCATACCAATGCACCAGTCCAGCCAATCCATCACGCACACCAACTCGTCAAACATACCAACCTGCATCATACCCGCGAATTCAAAATTCCTCGACGTGCCAACAAATGGTATTGAAAATTTTAAATTTAAAATAAATATGATTGAGTGGCCGGCAAGATTATCTGATTTTTGTCCATTACATTTTTCTTCTTTAAAAGACTTATAAAGTTAAAATGACACAACGCCAAATTTGCTGCAAGATCTAAAAACAGTGGATGAGTATCATAAAATAATGTCACACACATATCGCAAGTCTTAAAATATTCGCAACATTTTTTAACTGAAGTTTTATTACTGCAGTACTATTACATGAAAGCTAGTGGAGCATATTTTAAACATTTTCTAAAGTAAGTTTTTGTCGAATTCGAATTTTTTTTTAAATATTTTATACATCCAAATGTATTTTCTCGTATAACACTTAAATATCAACTAAATTGAAAAAGAAAAATATGTTTCATTGCAGCAAAAAGCTATTCTGAATAAAATAAAATCAGGCGTGATATATAATATAACTATACATATAAAATACTACCTGTATTGTGGTTCTTACTTTTATAAATATTTATGATTAACTAACAGTTCCATGGACTCAGCATAAGAATAGAAAACAGTTAAACAATCCTCATTAATAAAATATAAATAAATCAATAAGTATGTTTTTTCGGGGGAAAGTTTTGTGATTATCAGAACTTTGAATGTTTAAGGAACAGCAAATATTACAGTTGTAAATCCTCAAAAAAGGTAAAGAAAGGAATGTTGACATGAGACAATTAATAAAATAACAACGGTGTCAAAATGTTTAACACTGCACGTGTGCACACTCGTCGAAATATATAGTGCTAAATGAGCCTAAAACAAATTTATTTAGTAAAGCTGCCGATATTATGTGTATTTTGTTTAAAATTATGCAAGATTTACAGAGGACTTTAAACACATTTTGCGATTCCATTCTATTACCATTCGAGAAAATACCTAAAATTTTAAATAATTTTAATAAATACGATAGTAGGTTACAATTTAACAATAAAAAAAAGTTTCGCTAAGTTTCTTTGATCTTTTTCTGATTGTCAAGGAAAGCTGATAATTGATTGGTACCACAAAAAAACTTCTTCAAAAAGAGTTTTATCGTTTTATTCCAACCATCCTGTACACTACAAATTAAAAACCATTTTAACCTTGTAGATAGAGCTATCTTGTTGTCTCATCCTTACTATACATATAAGCGTAAGAAGAACCTAAAATTAGTTATTAATTTATAATATAATTATATTTAAGAACAGCCTGTTGTTATCTTATTGACTTTTTCAAGCATATGAATGCTAGATTTAAAATGTTGTTACATAGGAAAACAATTCATTAATAAAGACACGGGCACGGTAATACATCTGGGGCTCTATTCTTGAACTTATTCGCAATTGTACGTATACGTACAATTCGAACGGTAAAAATGCGCATACGTTTCTGACACGGTATTCTAGAACATAAATGTTTAGTATTCACTTTTAGAAACGTATACGTTTTCCATTGCACTGATTTAGGTTTGGTAACGTCGGAAAATATCTGTATTTCCTACAAACATTGATCAGTCTGTTTTAGCAGTACCGCTTGGGACGTGGAGTGAACAGCACGTCTTCTAACCTAGAAGATAAAATTTTTGATGCTGCGGGGTTGCATCATCCGTTTGCATCATCCCGCTCGAGGCCCGATAGTCGGGCCCTTGCATTGTATAACTTTACCAATTAATTGGAACGATACAGAGAAAATATATTAATATATATCACGCACAAATGCACTAATGTTATTAGAATAATCCACACAGCACAGAAAGATTGCAGGAAGATTGAAGAAATGTTACATTGCAAGATTGCAATATTGCAGCAACGTTGCGCAACATTGCTGCAACGTTTCTGGAGGATTGCAGCAACGTTGAAATGTCCGCCCTCAGAGAGATTGCAGCGCAACATTATAGCAATGTTGCAGTGCAATATTTTTGGAATAATTTGTTGTTGTACATAAGCAGAGAATTTACTAATTTAACATATGCATCTGGGCCTTTTTCAATACACAGCAAGCTATTGCGAAGCAACCTAAGGAGATTATGTCGCTTCGCAATAGATGGAGATTGCGAGCAATACCGTACTGATCAAGTACTTAATAATTCGCGCATTATTGATATCAACGAAAATAACATTATAAAATTCTCGTAATTAGAAAAATTGTTTAAATAGAAAATATAGTATTTTTATCATTTTTTAAACATTGCTGCAATATTGCTATCGAAACTTTGCAATTTTATATCCCTGCAATGTCTCTGCAAGATTGCACTGCAATCTGCAAGATTGCACTGCAATCTGCAAGATTGCAACGTTTCTGCAATGTATCTGTGCTGTATGGGATATTATAATAATACGTATATACAAGAATATACATATGTAAAGAATTAATACCTTTGTTATAGGATCTATCGCGAATATTCGTGTTTGAGGAATTACATACAGCTCGACAGTTTCTATTAAATTTATCGCAGCAGCTTTATTTAATCTAAATAATTGGATAAATTCTGTATCGCTTAGTTCGAAAGGATCTTCTCGGATGAAATCTCCGTTTTCATCTTTCTGGGATATTTTGTAAAGCGATTATAACTGGTGCGTTTATTAGAACATCTTCTAAATCCATTTTTCAATTATATTTTTTTACGATGGTTACAATTCAATATTTTTATATTTGCTTAAATAACTTTCACTTTTCACCAAAACCATTGAAACGTATACGTTTTCCTCGAAACGTATGGTATGAACCCTTCGTTGCACGGTACACGAAAAATTGCGTATACGTTGCACTTCACGACTGTCAAGAATACTGTTCTACGGATTTTCCATTGCGATCATTCGTAACTTGTTACTTACGTATACGCAACTATTTCAAGAATAGAGCCCCTGATCTCGTTCGCAAGACCATATATCGATTTTACGCAATTTCCGGTTTTTCTGTTTAAATGCTCATTCTGTCAACCTCGAAGCCAGTTGGCTACATCGTATCTTGAAATAATTTACCAAAAATAAATTATAGTGGTAATTATATAGAATAACGGACCACCCTCCACTCTCGATGACCTTGAGATATGTTGTCAAGGTCATGACCCTGAGTGACCTTCAGAAGGTTTTAGCCGTCGCTCGTGGTTCGTTAAAAAGTTATTAAAAAATTTCATAAACACGTAAGTTGCAAGCGCGTTTAGCACGGCGCGCTGCGCGCGCCCCACCCCCTCCCGCCCCCTCCCCTCCTCTCCCCGCTCCATTCCCCCTCCCCGCCCCCGCCCCAGTTAAAATATAACCCTACCCACACTATGTCCGAGGTATGGAGTGGATCTCGCCTCACGTGGAATGATTAAGATGTTACGGAGAGAAATTATAACAATTACTATAATAATTATTCATTTATATTTTCAGTTAATGAATACATACTAGACATTACTTCAAAAAAAGCATCTAATCGTTCGTCAAAATCGTATACTCGTTTAAACATAAACTCTGCTAAATAGTGATGAAAATGGTATTCTCTACGACCGAATTGAGGAATACTTCTGCGAATATCTCTCCATACCCATGGTCCGTTATTCTATATAATTACTATTATAGTTTTCGATATTTATATCTGAACAACTGATCCCTTTTGTAAGGTTGTATCTCAAAAACTGTCACTTTACAGGATTCACATTTGTGGTTTTGTGGTTTGATTAATGGTTCTGAAAATTTTTGTTTTGTTGATAAATAATAAACAGGATAGCTTTACTACAGCCAAAGTGTAATAATTTGGAATTAAAATACAGATTTATTGTTAAATTTGATATTATTCGTGAGAAACAAACGCAATATTTGTAGATACGACAAATTTGAACTTCAAATTGTAATTAAGTGAACAATATACGACATATTTATTTTTAAATTAATACATACCTCTGCAAGCAAATACTTATTAGTAAAGTCAAAAGATACAATGTTTTAAGGAAATTTGACAGCTTTTTGAGACTTGGTAACATCACATATTATTAAATATGTTTTTAAGTGTACATATAAGCGGTATTTTGTTAGGAAAAGTCATATAAATTTTCAAAAATAAAAAAGGGCCCTAAATTTATACATACGTTCCTTGCGTACGTGCATAACTACACGTGTGCATAGTTGCATACGAGTACGTGCGCACATGTGCATACGATTATCTTATTTCGTTTTTCTATACTTTTATATAGTTGTAAGTTTTAATAA